GGGTGAGAATAAAAATACGATCGACCTCTTACTCCGGGTGAGACTTGCCAGCGTTGGCTATTCTCACCCGGTGTGAAACAAGACCTGTTTTTCCTAATTTCGGAATACTGTCTATCGGTGTGGATGATCAAATCGACAAAAGCAAAGAAAAAAATGACGTTATAGCACAAAAGTAAGCTAATTTGATCATCTACAAAGATGCCATGGCTATTTAACTTTTCGAATCGAGCCGAACTATGCGATTTTGTTTTGCCCAGAAGTTCTCGAAAGATCTTCTCCTCCTCCTCTCTCTCTCTCCATCTCTTTCTGAAAACTGTCTATCGGTGTGGAAGATCAAATTGACCAAAACAAAGATAAAAAATGATGTTAAAACACAAAAGTAAATTAATTTGGTCGTCTACAAAGATGCAACGGCTATTTTACTTTTCAAGTCAAGCCGAACTACGCGGTTCGCCATTTAGTTTTGCCTAGAAGTTCTCAGGCTACTTCTCTCTCTCTCTGTCTCCTCTCTCTCTCTCTCACTGCCCACAGAAAAAATTGCATGCTTTTAACACGAAAGCGCTGGAATGTTTGTTCACGGCACAGAATTCTACACTTCTGTTATCACAGTGTAGAATTCTGTGGTTCACTGTGAACGCTATACTGGTTGGCCTAGGCCTAGGCTATCTATCACGATTAACACACACCGAGTGAGAAAAGCCAAAATTTAAGGCTCGCCTGCGCTCTTCTCACCCGGGGTGAGAATATAAGTGGCCGCCTGTATTACGAACCAACGCAGGCGGTTCTAAAAGAACGCCACAAACGCACACAAACTCAAGCACACTGACGCACACACACTTGACCCGCGCGAATGAGGATCCGACACGGGACCCGAATTTCACGTAAGATGATGCTCGGCACGCGGGCGCTGAGCCAGACTGACGCGGGACCAGAACGAAGGCAAAGCTTATCGAGCGACATAAACCCGGCCCCCGCAGGACTAGGGTTAATACCCAAAAAACCAATGTGAGCAAACCGTGCAGATATTTAAAGATTGCCAGTATTTTATCAAATACTTCAAGAATCGGGAGGCAGTGAATACTAACTTTTTGGGAGGACTTCCGTAACGAGCGACCACTATGAGACAGAGCAGAATCTTATTGAGGGCTAGGGATAGGGGAAGGACTAGGGGAAGGGTTAGGGTTAGGGTTTGGGTCAGGGACGTCAGGGTTAGGGTTTAAGCCTATTCTTTATTGATAAAATTATTGTGTTTGATGGGGTGGTCGCTCGTTACGGAAGTCCATCCAACTTTTTACTGTAGATCTTAATTTAGACTAGATCTAGATCTAAATCTAGATATCTAGAGTAAAATTACCGGTTCGGTCAAAATTAGGACGAAAACAGGCACGTCGACTTTAAAGCTTAAATATATCTCCTATCTGCCTTGCCCTAGAGACAAACCGAAACCAGCTACAGGAAGCCCTGTGATTGGATGACCCCAGGAATGACCTGTTTCAGCTTGTTCTCATATTTGAGGCCCTTACTGGGCGCAAAAGTGACGCCCGATATATATACGTGTTCAGTCACATTTTTTTGGTTTTCTCATGGATTCGGGCAGTATTTTGACATTCTGTCATTTTCAATTATTATCACATTTGTTTCTTTGCAAGCTTAATAACATGATTTTTAATGTTTGTTATCAACACTTGGACACAATGATAGTTTGTCTAAAGTGGTATTCACCATTTATAGCAGCTATTTTAATGAGTATGTATCTGACCCACTCTACTACGTGGTATCCGACTCTACTACACTGGCATCTGGCTCACTCAACTACACTGGTATCTGACTCTGCTACACTGATATCCGACTGTATTACACACTGGTATCTGAGCAATTGCCAAAACGTGAGACTCTCTTGAGACTCAGTGGTGCAAAAAAAAAATTTCTTACCAATTTGACTCTCTTTTCTGTCAGTCATAGATTGACATT